ATGTCGCCCCCCAAAACCGCCATAAACCCCAAACCCTACACCCTAGGCCCTAAACCCTAAACCTAAACCCCTAAGCCCTAAACCCAAAGCCCTAAGCCCTAAGCCCTAAACCCAAAGCCCTAAGCCCTAGGCCCTAAACCCTAAAATCCCTAAGCCCCAAACCCTAAGTTCCAGGTCCACGCGGTTTGTCCGGACCTGGAGAAGACGCAAGAGCTGGCCCAGGAGGTGATAGGAAAGCCGGGGCCCCAAGGGAGCCTTTCGGGTTCGGTTTAGGGCTTAGGGTTTAAGGTTTAGGGTTTAGGGTTTAGGGTTTAGGGGTTTAGGGGTTTAGGGGTTTAGGGTTTAGGGTTTTAGGCTGCGGGTTTAGGGTTTAGGGCCTTTCGGGTTTAGGGTTTAGGGTTTAGGGCTTCGGGTTTAGGGTTTAGGGCTTCGGGTTTATGGTTTAGGGTTTAGGGCTTAGGGCTTGGGGTTTTGGGTTTAGGGTTTAGGCCTTTCGGGTTCTCTGGCTAAAGAGCAGGGAGGTGGGTTCGGTTCATAAAGCACAGCACGGTTTGTCCTGGGTCGTAAGCCCTAAAACCTAAACCCCAGCGAGCTTTTCGAGTTGTATGGCCTCGGGTTCAGGTGCTTCCTCAGGACCTTCGCATGTTTTTGTTTATGATCTAATGTGTTGTCCTGCAATAAGGTTGGGATGCACAGGGCTTTGCTAGCAGCATCGCAAGCATGATAACGCCGCGACCCTACTGTGCCCAAAACTCAAGCCTAGACTAGACAGCAAGCTTGTGTCTGTTACCACTATGGGAATTATTCCGTTCCTAGGCGGTTTTGTCGGCTCACCGGGATGATCCACTCGCTGGAAGCATGAGTAGAGCGAAGCGCAGCGGCTCGCACAGAAGAAATGCAGAGGCATTGGGTCTGAGCATGCCTCGACTTGTTTAGTCTTCCCAATGCTGCCTGCCGTGATTATCACGTGGTCATCATCCTGTCGCCGTTGCAATTTCGTGATCATGATGCCGTCATCCGTCCCCCTCCCCCGCAGCTTCACCCAAATTCCAAACTTAGCTCCGAAATCCGACCTCCGAAGTCCTGAACACAAAGCAGTTCCCGGGAAACCTCCAGGGACGAAAGTAACTAGATTCTTAAACACGTCGAAGCTTCGGCAGATTGTTCTTCAGGCTTCTATGATTCAAGATGTTCAAGATGCCAAATGTCCTAAGCTGTGAGTCCTCGATCGAATAGTGCGGAGTTGCAGATCCATCAACACCCGGGGCTCCAAAACCTACACCCTACAACCCCAAAGCCTTCAGCCCCCAAATCCCTGACCCCCTTGCGCCCCAATGAGTTTCAACCCTTACCCCGGTAAATCCCCTATGCAAGAGGCGTGTGAAGTGGAGCATGCTGGTCCCAGCCTCGCACTCAAGTCAGGACGAACTCCCAAGGGTTGAGGGTTCAAGAGTTACGGCTTAGGGTTTAGGGTTTAGGGTAGGGCTTAAGGTTTCAGGTTTAGGATTCGGGGTTTAAGGGTTGGGGCCATGGCCCAAGGTTCGAGGTTTAAGTGGTGCTGGGTGCCGCCCAAGTCCTCCAGTTCGCTTGTCTTGTGGTCCTTTGGTGTTTAGGGTTTAGGGTTTGGGGTTTAGGGGGTCCCATTCTCCTTGCGTCGCTGTTGCACTTTTTTCCGAGGTGCGGCCGAGAGGTTTTTCATTAGGTTCATGCCAATTTCAACCTTCCACTATCTGGGCAGAGAAGGAAGACATCGAGAAGGAAGACATCGAAGAGCCGCTCAATTGCGCAATTCCTTGCTTAGCTTGCCGCAACTGTGACCGATCCTGCAGTGTAACGCCCCAAGTGATTGCCGCAGAACTCGCCGTGCCAATTGAAATTGCTCAGCAGCTTGCCGGAAAGCAGGACCCCGCAAATCGGGATGCACAAATGCCTGCGGCAAAAGAACCGTCAATCCAAACCCCGTGCCGCAAAAAAAACGTCAATCCAAACTCCGTGGCCTCCACAAAAAGGCTAATATAGTGGCCTCAACAAATTACCAATACGATTTTGGGGGCTCCTTATGATAAGAATAGTATAATATAGCCCCAAACCCTCTTCTAATTATTAAGGCCCCTAATTTTAGTCCCTGGCCAGGCCCGCCCCCCAGGAAAAGAAGGACCCGCCACACCTAGGACCTAGATCAGACAAAACGCCGCCCTCCCTCATCCGACATGGCATAAAATTGCGTGTCCGGTTGTTGAATTCGGCTCGGAGGCTTGCTGACTTTGTTGAAAGGGATCTTGCACCTATGAGTTTGAAGAGAACAGATGCTTTTGACGCGTTTCTTGCAAGTAGGTTCTGACTTTCAGTCGTACTATTTGTTTCGATCGCTACTGTTGCCGACTTTCTTTCTTACTTGTTTACTCTAGACTGGGAATCGGGGCAGCATTGCAGTCGGGCTTCGCTTGCTGGTACTACCGTCGCGACAGGTGGCTGAGCCCAAGCCCTAAAACCGACGCCACACCCTGGTGGTGAGCTTTCGTCGTTTCTGAAGCTCCTTCCCTAGCCCCCATGCCCTGAAGCCGAGTAAAAGTAAAGACCTAAAGTCGTGCATACGACTATGACAATGCCCGAATGCCTAAACCGTGCTTCCGCATTTCTCTGCAACCTTCCCGCCCGGGTTCCTGCCCAACGCCAGAGATCTTTAGCACAAGAGCAGCCAGGTTCTCTGTGCAAGGGTCTTTAATTGTGGGGTTTCGGCATTGGTTATGCTACGGATCTAACATGGTTTGCTATGGGCATCGCTTTAAATAAGGGTTAGTTCAAGGTTTGCTCTGAGGGTTATGGGGCGCCTGAGTAGCATAGAGGCTGTTTTCAGCCGCTTGCTGAGATCGCGACTGGCGTCATCAAGATTCTCACTCCCATCGCGGACACACTCTTCCTCCATGCAGGTGTCGGCCTGGCGCTCGTCACCGAAAGCGCTGGATTCAGGGTTGGTCCAACAAGTCACTAAGTGGATTCTGTTAGTCGCAGATGCCTGACCTGGTATCTTGCGCTTGTGACCACAAGAGCCCCATGTGGAAGTCTGCCCTCGTCTCAATGTTCGAAGTGTCAGAGGTACCAGTTAACTTCACCTACGGTGATATGCTTGACATCAGCTCCAAGGCGTCGAAAGACAGCGTGTCTTCTTTTCCGATCAGGAGGCGCTGGAGAATTCGCATGCCACTTTACAAGAAACCCATGAGAGTGAGATCCAGATTGACTACAACAATTGTCCCTAAACCCTAAACCCTAAACCCCCAAAATACTGACATTAGGCCGCACGGTAGCTGTCAGGTCGTGGTTGTCGCAGCGTTGCCGTGGTGGTGCTGGCAGAGGGTTAGCCATAGCCGTAGCAGTAGCAAGAGCAGGAGCATCAGCAGCAATAGCAGTAGCAGCTGCAGTTCGAGATGCAGAAAGCTGGATTGACATCGATGGATTGTGCTTGCGTGGGCATCCCATAGCATCTCCATTTCAATGGTAGTGCTCAATTTTCTGGAGAGATTTCAACTAGGATGTTGCCTTCTACTTTATGCTTTCTGATTGCTGTATGGCTGACCTTGTTGTGGCCAGAGCTTCAATCTCAATGCGATGATGGTGACGAGGATGATATTTGTCATGATGCTGTTTTGGTTGTTATGACAGTGGTGACGACTATCAGCGGCATTCGTGGTCGTGGTGCTTGCAGTGGTGGCGGCGCAGCCGCAGCAACACCGGGGTACCTGCGGCAGGTCGCCAACCTCAAGACGGCAGCCACACCGGCGACGGGCAGCCGAGACGGCTGGGCCTGGTCCACAGTTGTTTAGGGTTTAGGGTTTAGGGTAGACAGAAGGTGAAAGCAAGGCTACTGCGGCAAGTTCTTGCACCGCTTCCGATATTTATCGTGCCGTCTTTGCCCACATCCCGGTTTGAGCATTAGCAAGGAGAGCTTGTAGGCCGAATTGAAGTGAATGCCCCAAACATTTGCATGGCTTGATCGATCGTAGAAGCCAGCGTTAACGAGTGTTTTGGAGGTTCAAACTACAAGTGCCAGGTCAGAATCGTTCAAGCTTGAAGTTCAGGATTTTATTGGGCTTCCAGATTCGAAGTTCAAGATTTTTTTGAGTAGACCCAGAACGATCAAGACACATCAGCACTCAGTCCGTGTGGATGGACCACGAAATGTAAGGTTGGGGCTTGCATGTGGGCTTGGGGCCTGGGGGTTATATAAGGCTTCCGGGTCTGGGTGATGTTGTGCAAGGGGGCAAGCAACTGCCGTCGTGAGGACCACCATGGACAAGTCTTGAAAGATTGACTCTTGAGACCTCAAACCGCGAAATCCCCTTAGAATTACACACATTTTTCTGGCTGCAGTGGTGGCCAGGGATGTGCGTTCGATGGACCCGGGATTCAGCGACTCTCGAAAGCTATGAACCCCGAAGTGACAACCCTTTCAGCCCTCCCTACTATAGGGGTCTCAATAATTAGGATCGGGTTTTGGGGTATATTATATCACACATACAATCAATAAAGAACCCTACAGAACAATATGGGTAAATATTCAGGCCGCTATACTACTGCCTTTGCAGGTGTCAACTCAGGAAGCTCTCTGTGCCTTCCTGCTCCAAACCTTAGCGAAGCTCTTACTGCCGGAGCCCTACGGAGGGTTTGGAGCTCTCGCTCGAACTTGCTCTCGGGAATTTTCGTGTCGGGCACTCCATTCTCAATCATCGAGGGTGCATTCCTTGTCGCTTGAGTTCGGAGCCCTAAACCCTAAACCCTAAACTTTCCCTAAACCCTAAACCCTGAACCCCTAAACCCTAAACCCCCAAACCCTAAACCGCGTCCCTTATGAAACCGGGACAGCAGCTTAAGCTTGCTGCATCCACGTTCTGGACCTGCGAGTTTTAAGATTG